CTCGTACACTGATGATATGACAATGTCGACCGTTGGGTAGCAACAACAGGCTCCATTGTTGATATCTTCATCAATATATAAGTAGTCACTCCTAGGTGGAGATGTAGATCTGTAATTTTATACCATTACAAGGATGAGTTATATTTGTTGATTATCAATCAACTGAGAAGTGGGCCCCCCACCCTCCTCAACACAGACATACACCAACGGAATAGGTGTAATTCCAGTCGAAGCGACAACAAGTAGCCAATCGCATTTTTTGATTTCAAACCGAACAATAGAATTGTACACGGTGTGGTTTTTATCGGAACATTCCTCCTTCAGTCATAAGAAATCAATTAACGGGACAAAGGAAAAGAGGGGAACGTTTTGTTTCTATGAGGAATTTATCAGAGAAAAGTAGGCACATAGGACTGGTCGCTTCATCGACCTGCACATCACGTTTCAAGGCATTTCGTGCAGGGGGGGGGAGGTTTTCACCAACCTGTCGTGTTTATTTAGCTCGGCATCATACATGCTATACGCGCGTTCCATCCTATTTGGGATTGACACTCTCCCAGTGTGTGGGTCACATTGTTGTTCACACTGAGACTCCAACCCAGGGCCGATCGATCATTCCAAATATCATAGCGTTGTTTAGGTGTTTATTTTACATTAGCACCGAGTTACTTCAATGAAGTTTCTATAAATGACACTGAAGGAGGACTTTGATCAACCTATATATCCAGTGTTGGCTACATGTTCAACAATTGAAATGCTAGTTGATTTACATTCTCCCCCCGACAGTGCTCAGGGATACGTTTAGAATGTGTGCGCTTTGTGCGGCCAAATGGATATCTGTCCAGATTTATTGACGAGAACTTCAAATTAAAGCGGAATACGGAGCAAGTACTCACAGTTCCAAAGAAGACGTTGCTTTCAAAGGCGATACGACGGCAGAGATCCAGAAGGGTCGGAAGACATTCTTCTGTGAGAAGCCCTAGATCAGCTTCTTTAGTCAGTAATTGTTCCCGGAGTGCATTAAGAACAAGTTGGAGTTCTGTTATTCATTGTCATCTGTCCATTGGGTTCGTAATGGAACATAGCGCTTTACTATCACGTCGCCATTTCACTCTCTTCTCTGCAATCTTTTTAGCCTGGCTTCACGACTTCTCAGAAGCTTTCATTTCTTCTTCACGAAATCTCCCCCATGTCACCCTCAGGTAGGACACCCAACTCGTCGCTTCCCATCGTGGTTCCACTCGAGGGCCTGGCCTGGCGCGTGATGTCCTCACTCGGTCTTCTCAGTGTATGTCCAATCCATCTTCACTTCCTTCTACAAATTTGTTGGACGATAATCCCTTGATTGGTTCGTTGCCAGCCGCAGTGAGTTCCTTGTTGCTTATTCTTTCTGGTCATCTGATCTGCTCTTCAGTATGGAGTGAGCGTAGGCGGCAGCTGTTTATGTATATATGCAATTTGTTGGAAATGCTTTTCGTAACGCGCCAAGTCTCTTAACCATCACATACAAGCACTGACTTGACTGACATTAGTGTTGAAAATCCGGATCTTGTTCTCTGTGTTGTGTGCAGTGCAGAAGATCTCCACACTGGTTTCGGGCTAGTGAACGCCTGTCTTGCTTTTCCGATCCTGACTGGCTTTGACGTCGTCGTCTGTGCCACCTGTAGTTGAAACAATGCTGCCTAGGTAGGTGAAAGAGACAGCTTTCTTCCCATTCCTTCCGTTGATGATGATTGGTGTTTGTTGTTGTTGTTGGTTGGGTATCTTCATCACCTCTGTCTTCTCTACGTTCACCTGAAGGAAGTGCCGTCTTCGCTGCCCTGTCTCTACTGTCAACTTGTTAGTTTTCGTCTGTAGATCTTTGACATTAGACATAAATCATCATGGGTGAAATCGAAATTCCCTAGGGTCTTTTCATCGGTCAAACAGCGAGCATATACCCATCTTCTCGCTCCTCACAGTTTGTTGCATGACCACAATCGAGATCACCAGTGGTGATAATAGGCGGCAACCTTGTCTTACTGCTGTCTTCACTTCATTTCAAAGGTATCACTGAGCTGACCATTGTGAATCAATTGGCATGTAACACCATCATACAGCTGTTCCTGCGGAGCTAGTTATATAGGCTGTAAAAAGCGTACACTTTCCAAACGTATCTCTAAGCACTATCCTGTGTGACTGTCGAGGAGAGAATGTAAATCAAGTTACAGTTGAATCTACTATACTCTAACATCATCATCTCTATCTCTCTCTCTCTCCCTGTATATCATATTCGTAGTCGTTTTTGTCTGTTTCCTTTTTTCCCTGTTCCAGCTCACAATCCTCTACAACTATCTGAAGCAATACGTTATATACTGTATGAATTACCTAAACAATAAACTGATCCATGGAATAAACTGACTCTCTTATGTATATGTGTGTATATAGGCAGTGCGTTGGTGATTGTTGTTAATTTGTCTGAAATGACCCATTTGATAAGATTTTTTCTTCTCCATGATGAATGCATTGCCTATTTTTCACTAACAAAAAAAAATGTTACTATGCCAATATGATTACTTACTACACTTGTAAATGTGTCCGTGATTATTTCAAAAGGGGGCGGAGGGCTATTAAACAAACTGATAATGATCTCTGCTGAACTTTGAATAAACCGAGTCTATGCTTGCCTAATCGTAATCTCTCGAAAACAGATTGACAGTCAAAAAAAAGATTTGTGTCACCTGAGGGGTTCGAACCCGTGTTACTACTCCACACCACATATCTTATAGTGCATAATACCAATCAAAATGGAGCACGATTATGAGTCATCTAGACTTAGTGACCACATTGTAAGCGACTGATTGAATCCGTTCACCATTCTGATTATCATTGTTTACAGTCAACAGTTTTTGTCTAATAACATGATTGTGTTGTTATTTTAATGTCACCAGCTACCTACCCTCATCAAAGAATTTTGACTGGAGAAAGGTTAAAGACGATCACACTCATAAATGGCATCAGTCCATGAAGTATTTGCCGTATAGGCAAACGAACGTTGTACTGTCGTTCTACCCTTTCTACCTCATACGATTTCCAGTTACTTTCTTCTATATTCCTGTATCTTTGCTCAAGCTTGATGGAATCAGCGTGTGAGCGATGTTGAAAAGTCAAGTGAACGGTACTAGACAAGTCGATTGATACGGTTGCGCATCTTCATTATCTGAGGTGGCCTGGACATGTGTTGCGTATGCCAAATCACCGCCTACCTCAGTGCACCATGCTACAGGAAGTTAGATTAGGTTGGAAGAGGGTTCAAGGTGGCCACAACAAGACTGCACATCAATCGATGGAGTCCCTAAATGTCAATCTGATCTGTGTATGTGCGTGGGAGATATCGATTACCTAATTGAGGTCTCCGAGACCACAGGAATCAGTGGCTACAGATTCTTAGTGACATGGCTGAAAATCGGTCACAATATCGCAGATCTCTTCACTGCGAAGTGTGTGTGTGTGTGTGCATCAGGTTGAACATTGATTCTGTATGTCGCCTAACTTCCATCTCACTGCCTCGTACACTGATGATATGACAATGTCGACCGTTGGGTAGCAACAACAGGCTCCATTGTTGATATCTTCATCAATATATAAGTAGTCACTCCTAGGTGGAGATGGAGATCTGTAATTTTATACCATTACAAGGATGAGTTATATTTGTTGATTATCAATCAACTGAGAAGTGGGCCCCCCACCCTCCTCAACACAGACATACACCAACGGAATAGGTGTAATTCCAGTCGAAGCGACAACAAGTAGCCAATCGCATTTTTTGATTTCAAACCGAACAATAGAATTGTACACGGTGTGGTTTTTATCGGAACATTTCTCCTTTAGTCATAGAAAATCAATTAACGGGACAAAGGATAAAAGGGGAACGTTCTGTATCTATAATGTGTTGATGTAAGAGGGAAAGAGACAAAAAATGGTAGTTTAAAACTGTTTTGCTATGATCAGTAGAACCTAGAAGGCTTGGATTTCGCTGATGACTTTTGCCTGATGTCACATAAACTTGAAGATCTGCAGGCGAAAACTAACAAGTTGATAGAAGAGGCAGCGAAGACGGGACTTCAAGTGAATATAGAGAAGACAGAGGTGATGAAGATACCGCACCATCAACAACAACAACAACAACAACAAACTCCAATCACCGTCAACGGGAGAAACTTGAAGGAAGTAACCTCCTTCACTTATCTAGGAAGCACTGTTTCAACTACAGGAGGGACGGAGGAGGACGTCAAAGTCAGAATCAGAAAAGCAAGACAGGCGTTCATTAGCCTGAAGTCAGTGTCGACATCTTCTCCACTCAGCATGCGGAACAAGATACGGATTTTCAACACCAACTCAGTCAAGTCAGTGCTTCTGTATGGTTCAGAGACTTGGCGCGTCACGAAAGGCATTTCCAATAAACTACAGACATTCATCAACAACTGCTTACGCTCGTTACTGAAGATCAGATGGCCAGAAAGAATAAGCATCAAGGAACTCTCGGAACGAACCAACCAAGAACCTATCATGCAACAAATATGCAGGAGGAAGTGGAGATGGATTGGCCATGCACTGAGAAGGCCGACTGAGGACATCACGCGTCAGGCCCTCGAGTGGAATCCCCATGGGAAGCGACGAGTTGGACGTCCGAGGGTGACATGGAGGAGGTCGTGCGAGGAGGAAATGAGAGCTTCTGGGCTGTCGTGGGACCAGGTTCAAAAGATCTCAGAGAACAGAGGTCACTGGAGGCGTGCTACTGAAGCCCTATGTTCCACTAGGAACCCAAGGGACTAATAATAATAATAATCAGTAGTCTCATCTAACGTTATGCGAGCAAAGGGTACGCGCAAACGAAACGATACCTAACGGTAATCAGAACGTGAACGACCGACACAAGAAGATGGGCCATTCACAAAGAGGCAGACTATACACATTTCTAAACGACTCTGACAAACATTAAATTCATATTTAGGGTAAAAGATTTGTTAGTTTATCGTCATGGAATAACATCAGTTAGAAGAAGATTGGAAACTTGTGAGCAGTAGTTGTTTCACGGTGCGCACCCACCACCTTCAGATTCCATGACGACCACGTTACCATCGGTATTCAATGCTGTGTATTGTCTACTTCTGTTAGTTCACATCATAGCGAGACTGCCCCCACAACAACATCATCGTATTATCGTATTTATCCTCAAAGATGCACCATTGACAACGAGTCATTCATGATGAAAAATCTCTACATCTCCCAAACTCATTAGGGTAAAAGAGTAAAAAAACAACCAATGAGAATTCGACCTTTGACGAAACAGTCAAATGATAAGGTTATAGACAAACATTATACAAAAATTAAGATTTCTATATATGATCTATTCTAAGCAGATTATTTTCTCAGAATTATATTCCATAGTAAAAATTAAAGGTTGATCACATTTCACTTGAATTATCTCACTTATTCGTCGATTCGATGTTGAAACAATACCATGAAATGAAAGTGTTAAATTATCTAAAGGAGTAAAGAATAACACAATCAAGGCTATATATATATATATATAAAACATCTAATCATATACAGTAGGATCTTGATGTTCAACAAGAAAATGATCCAGACATTGATTCAAGTTAATTGAATGAAAAGAGAGTAGAAAGTAGGATAATTTGTGTATTGAGAAAACTTCAACATTATTCGTTTACACTTCATCTAACCATTTAAGAGTGCTCTAAGACAGTCTCCTTCTTAGAAACAACAAGATGACTGTTACTAAGCGATATATGGTTGATGTAATTACAAGACGTAGATTATCTGAACAATATCGTGATGTATTAGCGCTACACATTTCGAACAACTCCTTATTTACTAATGTACCCCTAATTAAAATCATAGACATTCCTTGTGACCATATATCCACCAGTAATCCTTCTTTCCCTATCCCTCAACTTGTTTGAGAGAGATGTTATTACTGTTTATTGATGAAGTTCATTTCACATTTGAAGGTGAACATTTTCGACAAACAGATGGTGTGGCTATGGGAAGCCCCAGGGACCATAGCTAGCTGATATTTACATGTCACACATTGAGGGCTTGACCGGCCATCTCATCAGTGAAGTTACTCTCTATAAGCGATATATGTTGATGATATAATCGTGATATGTGATAAGCATGAAGATGCAACATGTTTGTTAGAAAGACTTAACAACATCGAACAAAACAACATAAGCCTGACAAGTGAAGAAGAAAAGAAAACCGTCTGCCATTATTCTTGAATATACTCGTAAGTCGTAGAAATGATGGTTCAATAAAACGGTCGATCTACAGGAAACCCACTTGGAGAGGTCAGTATTTAAGTTTCCATAGCTTTTGTCCAACCCAATACAAGCGAGGTTTGGTACCTTGTCTATTTAAAGGGGACCAGCGTATTTGTACGGAAGACTCAATAGATGATGATATCATTAGTGGAAAATGGATATCCATTGAAGTTCATAAACCGCTGCAAAAATCAGCAAGGATTCAAACCTGATCTGTACTCTGTTTCGAAGAAATACGTTTACATCGCGTTACCATACAGAGGAGAATCTAACAGCATAATATTAAGACGAAGGTTAAGGTCTGCTGTTAGCAAAACGTACTATGCAGCTAAGCTTATCATAGTTGAGAAGACCAAACACCTGCTGCTACCTAGACCTCAACGCTGTATAAACGATTGAATCACATCCCATTGCGTTTATAAATTTACATGTGTGTGTGTATGTGGACAAACATACATAGGGAGGACGAATCGTGATATGCACTTGAGGGTAGGGGAACATGTTCCAAAGTGGCTACGAAAGCAGTTGGATAAGCACAGATGGCAGACAACCATCATCCGTATCCATTGCAAAACATATCATTGATAAGAGTCACACAGGATTGATATCAAGGCAGCCTTTACAATTACTGGAGGATATATGATCACAAAGAATGTCAATGGTTTTAATTAGGGATACATTAGTAAATAAGGAGTTGACATGCAATGAATACAATCTCTTATCTTTGATATTAATATCACTGATATAATTAACAAGTTCAAAAGTATCTTTTAAAGAAAACTTACATGAATCATTTCGAATAGGGATTAAAGTTTTTTCACTAACCATTTCGCTACTTTATGTGTAGGTGAATGGAATATGGAGAGTATAAGACGTAAAAGATTATCTGTTTTATGAATTTTAGGAAATCCCTACAGATTAGGTAGCTCAAACCCCATTGGTTTGAGGGAAGCGAATTCTTCCTAGCTAATAACATTGATGTTCAAGAGTTTTACTAGACTAGATATTACTTTGTATTCTAAATTTCTCAGGTGGCTGGTGGAACATCAGCTATAAATTTACTTTCATAGCTAAAGATGGACATCATCTTGTTTTTGAAATCATATTTGTCCATCACAACCACACCCGACTCTTTATCGGGTTTAAGAATGATTACATCAAATCTATTTGGAAGTCCTTTTAGGGCTTTGAAATGTTGTGAAGTAAGGATACTTCGCTATCTTGGGCCTCAACTATGAAACCGATGAGCAATATCCGCTAGCTTAGCATTCAACTAACTGTGATCAACAATGGCATATTCTTAAGTTTGTTGAGGCGCTAGCCATAGGTAAATTCCCCACCCCCACCCCCATTGTGTGTACAAAAACAGTATCTACTTAGGTTAAGCCTACCTTGGTAATGCTTATTTTATCGTATTACCAACGTTGTCTTCAAATCTTATCTTTTTTTTCTCCTTTCATTATCTTTCCTATTGTTGAATTGCTTTATGTCACATGTGTCCTTCCCCCACTTCCAGTTTTCGTATATTTAATGCCTTGCGACAATTAATTATGTGTGTGTGATCAGATTGTTCGAAATGTATAGCGCTAATACATCGCATATTGTTCAGATAATCTACGTCTTCTAATTACATTATCCAAATTCATAAAAGGGACTAATTGTTTCAGATATATGGTTAGTAATCTTATTGGAAAAGTTTCATTTGAAGCCTCTTAGAGAAGATGAACACAGGTCAAAATTATATCAGCTTTACTTGTGAACAAGATGTAAACAATCAACTACAATTCTTAATCGATTGGAGGATCCTTCCATCCGAAAGTCGATTTATAGGAAGGCTACATAGACATGGCAATATCTTAATTTTCATAGGTATTGTCCAGTTCAATATAAACACGGTTGAATTAAGATAAATTGAATCTGCACCAATGACACCAGGGAAGAGGAAACGAAGATACTGATGACAACATTGATATAGAATGACTAGCTGGATACCAATTGAAATTTATCGACAGGTGCAAAAGTTATATACCATTGAAAAGTACACAGTGTTGTGGCATTGCTACCTGGGAAGTAGGATCAACGTTGGCGGCTAGCTCAGTGGCCGATGAAATCTCTGCATGGATACAAAAGGCTCGATTGCCTTTTGCCAATTTATAACACCTATGGCACCGCCGTGATATCCGTTTATCTATTAAGCGTTGCATGTACTGCACAGTAGTCCGCCCTGTTCTACTGTATGACTGTGAAACATGGCCATTCAAAGTGGAAGATATGAGAAGGCTTCAAGTGTTTGACCACTGTTGCCTTCGTCGCAGTATAGGCCGTATTCCGTGGTGTCACCGTGTGAGTAATGTAGAGGTCAGGTGTAGAGTTTCAGGGAGTAGAGGTAAATCAGTTGATGAGGTTATGAACCTTCATCGATTGAGATGGTTGGGACACGTACTACGTATGCTAAGTCACGATTTGCCTCGTCACATAATGTTGGCTGAAGTACGTCCAGGTTGGAAAAAGGCTCGAGGTGGCCAGAGTAAAACATGGCAGCACCCAATGAAGTCTTTGGCTGTTGGTTTAAGCCATGTTGGGCGATGCACACTAGGTGGTTGGGGTCCGTGGGACAAGAGGAAATAGTGGTTGGAGACTGACTCTAGGTGATCACATGGCTGCGAACGAAAGTCAGTGGCGCATACATTATCCTCATCTTAACGACGCTATACTGAATCTCCTTCACCTCACTGCCTTTCTACATGATGTAATGATATGATGAGGTGTGGCAACTCGGACCGTTACGCAGTAATACCTAGTTCCATGTTAATATAGATTAATTGTTAGTGTTAACGTGAAAACACTTACCTAAATCCCATTGAAGACCTTTAGTTGTTACTTGACAAGATTGTCCAACAGGAATCAAGCCTATATGCTCAGCTTCATATCCTGTATTAGCGTATATAGTATGTTCACCCTAAGATAGAGAGATAGAGAGAATTAAGAGTTGTACTCAAAATAGAACTGCTTACTTCATCCAACAGAAATATAACACAGCATTCAGTTATAAGAATTAATGGGATACTAGTCAATTTTCTTGTTTCATATAATGTTTTTATTGAAGCCATTTCATGATCAAATCGTCCACCACTCATTTGTACTGCAGTAATCATATCTATATTTATCTAAAATATAATCTAATTATAATTATCATTAATATTTATAACTTGCATTATTCTCTTCGATATAATTGATAATAACACGTAAACACTTTGTAAAATCAGTTTCATTTTGATCTAATGTTTCAATAACTGAAACATTCATCTATTAAAGAGATGTTAGCTAAGATCTATGCTTAAAAATTAGTAGATAACTACTTACCTTAGAATAATAAAATTTTAAAACTTCTTTTTCAATAGAATCAAAATCACCAGTTAAAAAATTTGGTAAATAATTATCCCTTAAATCATGTATATTATTATTATAAATATGATTAGCGAAACCATCTACAAAAGCGATTGGATAAGCTATAAAAACATTATCAATAATGATAATGTTATGTGTATAGATGATTGAATCTACCTTTCTGCCATAATTGTTTAAAAAGTTTTATTGGTATCATTTGTGGATGATTTAAATAGATAACTGCTTTACATATATCTATTATTATATAGATAGATATAAGACTTAAATAGATTCTATATATATATATTACCAGTTGTAAAAATTGACAAAGGTGTATAGATCATTGAAGGAAGCAATAATTTTCACGGAATAATAGTTGACTATTAACTAAAAGTGAGGGGGGGGGGATAAAGTAGACACAGAGACAAAGTTAACCATGATCATAAGAAATGTACTAACAATTATAAAAATATACATATATATGCTTTGAACCAGGTTGAAAGGAGTTGAAAATTTGTTCATATATCTGGATAGTTGTATGAGTATTGATTAGACTGGATTGTTTCCTATGGCCACTTCAAGCTTTTTTCTAAGCTACAAGCCTACTTTGATCAACAGTGTGTACAGTGGTTAGGCATATGTAACACATTTCAGTCGATGAAGGTTCTCAACCATATCAACTGACTTACATCTCCTCCTTAAAGCTTTACGTCTGACTTCTAGGTTACTTGCATGGTGACACCAAGAAACACAACTTATGCTACGGAGGCAGCGATAGTCAAACATCAAAAACCATCTCATGTCTTCTACCTTGAATGGTTATGTTTCACAGACATACAGTAGAACAGAAGGGACTGTAGCACAGTACACTGTGGCGCCACAGATAGTGTAAGTTTGGCAAAAGCCCATCCAGCCTTTCGGTACCCATGCAGAGATTTCCTCGACCACTGACCCACACACTAGGGCTGATCTAACTTCTCAGGTAAGTGAAGTGTTTAACACACTCAACCACTTTACCCTCTGTTGTTAACCGGGACATCTCTGAAGGCTAGTCCTGGAGCAGTAATTTGTATTTGGGTGGCAAGGAATGCATCCCAAACAGCGTCTTTGCCTAACACGACTATGTCGTCTCCGTATTCTAAAAATTCTCCTATGATTCGTCCAGTCCCTGTGTAGTCACATGTCAAGAGGGAGACCTCCATAAGAACGTCTAAGATGAGATGGAATGAGAATGAAAAGAGTTGGCATTCTTGAAGCATATCATTCAACGTACACAGCTTGCCCGACATCTCACCATAGGCTCTAACACGTCCACAGGTGTTCGAGTAAAGAGCCTTCAATAAGATGATGTATTTACTTGGTATCCCTTTCAGTGAGAGACATTGCTGTAAGACTTCTTGATCGACGGAGTCAAAGACCGTGTACAAGTTAGTGACCTGACCTCAAACTCATACCTAATATGTGAAGTTATAATCACAGTTTGTTTGAATCTGTTACCCCCTATTTGATGTCTGAATCAATCAATATCAACATACGATCAGGCATAACTAAGCAACGGTCCAAATCGCCAGCTGCACCTCATATCAGCATACCAAGTAACAAGTAGTAGGATGAACGATGAAGAAAGAGAAAATAAGCGGTCAAAAGAAGTAAAAGAGAGGAAGGAGGAACGAGAAAATGCTGAATCCAGCATAGCGGTTAAGATGAGGATGCAGTGTGGATATATACATCTGCGCAACATCATCACCTATAACTTCCAAACACTGGTTCCTGCTGTCACGTGGATCCCAACCAATTAGTCTGCATCTCCTAATATGGCTAAGACTGAGGTTCAGTTAAAGACTTCATGCAATCTGGCTGTAACTCCCCATTTTTCAGCCTGGACCTAATTCAACCAAAATTATGTTACAAGGCAGGCATGTGCAATATATATCCCACTAATCTCAGTTAATGAGGATTCACAACCTTGCCAACTGACATTCCTCTCCTCTTTAAAACTCTACACCTGATTTCTGTAACATCATAATACACGGTCTATGCTACCAAGGCTACATTGATCAAACACCAAAAGCTTTCTCTTCTCCTCTGCCTTGTTTTGCAGCTGTTCATTAGAATATAGAAAACTTCAGAACGTCACACTACCAACTTGTCAGTAATGTAGATGCCAGGCGAGCAGTTTTGGATAGGATAAGAAAGTCTGTCACTGACGCTATGAACCTTTATTGGTTTTGATCACAAGTGTTTATGTATCGATCCTGTTGCTTGGTTGAATCATTGTGCGAGCAGTTTTAAGGTCAGACGAAGGGTACTAGGCAAGACAGGCAAGTTGATTGATGCAGTTATGAAACTTAGTCCACTGTCATACTGTATGGAAGCTGGATTAGGCAAGAAAAGGGTTCAGGGTGGCAAGACCAAGATGTGGCACTGATCAATGAAGTCTCTCACTCTGAAAGGGAGGTGTAAACTACTTGGATGGGGACTCCGAGACGATAGGAATCAGTGGATGAGGACTGACTCTTGGTGACATGGCTGAAAATCTGTTACAATAGTGCAGATATATTCTCCCTTTTATGTCCTCTAAATCTTGAATATTCCGTCACAGAACTTTATCTACTTTGATATCATAATTTTTCTATCCAGCTGTTTATTGTGGTAAGTTGAACCGATGTCCTTGCGTGCGAGGTTCTACGTTGATTTTGTCTCTGTCTGTCTGAACCCACATCGTCTCGAATGGCTAGGGCATGTGTTATACATCCCTTGTCATGTCATGGTGTCACTAACGTAAAAATAAGTTTAAGTTTTAGGTAAACGAGGTAAGTCAGTTGATGTGGTTGTCAACCTTCACCGAGTGAGATCGCTGAGACATGTCTTATGTATGCCTAACCACCATCTGCCTCGTCACACAATGTTGACCGAAGTAGGTTCAGGCTGGAAAAAGGCTCGGAGCAGCCAGACTAAATCACGGCGTTACTGCATGAATTCTTTCACTCTACACCTGAGTCATGCAAGGAGATGCAGGCTAGCCGATTGAGGTCCATGGGACAAGAGAAACCATCAGTGGTTGGAGACTCTAGGCGATATAGCTGCGAACTCATGTCAGTAGCACAGATGTGTACACACATTATCCTCACTATTTTCTTATTCCTCCCTCATTTCGTCTACTACTTTCTGTTTTTTTTCCGCCGATTTATCTTTTTTCATCCATCTTCCACTTTATTGCCTTGTTACTTGATGTGCTAAAATGTAAGGTGTGACTAGCAACTTAAATCACTATGCAGTAACGGCTACTCCCATGTTGATCTTGATTGATGATGACGACGTCACTTCAAACAGTTACGGTTTTTTCCTAGCTGTCATGTGATTATTTAATTCATAATTGTCCGTTCATCATAAACCATATTATATGCCCAATCAGGAATTATTCCAATCGGAATATAACCGAATTAGAGATGGCGAGCATCGTTCTTCGGTCTGCTTTTTTTCTTCGTAAATCATCACACTCTTATCAGTGGGTAAATGGATAGGCTGATAAACTTCTCACATGCAAAGAAAATCTGTGGAATTTGTCTATTTAAACAAGTTTTTAACAGTTTACAATTAAATATTCTAACTCCAAGAAATCTTGTATAGCTTTCATCAAAAAATCTAGGAAACTGTATAGAAAGTAGCTGGTTGAAGGTTCTCTCTTTTACTATATGGTTTAAAAGAAGTTATAGACAGTTTTTTGAGGCTGGAACAATATTACGACAATTTACTTGTGTTTACTGACTGTCAGAAAGTGCCAACATTCGTTGAGGAAACTGCTACAACTACTCCCAAAAACCTCAGTGCCTATTCGTCCAGATAAGTTGTAGTATCCACATCAAAAGGGTATCATAGAAAAACCAATGCGTATGACGTTTGACAAGGAGAAAAAATCAATGCAGAACCTCGTACACAAGTACATCGGTTCAAGTTGCCCCACACTTCACAGAAGTACACAAAAAATAGGTGGATAGAATAAAAGTGATATCCAAGTAGAGAAAATTGTAGATAACGGTTTCAGCAAATATTCACGCTTTACAAGATTTCATGGAGTGAATACACATTTGAGCCGCTTTGATCAATTATCAACCATCTCACCTAGAGTCTTCAATGACTGGTTTCTTACGTCTTGTTTACCCCAACCAGGAAGTCGGCAGTCAGTCGTCGACTGGTGCCACTTTGAACCCTCTTCCAACCTAATACAACTTCACCCAGCGTGATGCATTGAGGAAGGCGGTGACTCGACATGTGCAACGCACGTCCAAGCCACTTCAGTTGACAAATGTTCATAACCTTATTAATCGACTTGCCTGCCTTGTCTAGTACCCTTCACCTGACCACAACATTGCTCATACAGTGATTCCACCAAACGAGAGCGATATTATGAAGACACCTATGATGAAAACCTTGTAACAGCTTTATATCTTCTACTTCATCAACCTCATTCAACAGCTATATTACGACGCTACATACCAAGTGATTCACAGTGGATGCCTTTGAAGTGAAGACAGCAGTAAGACAAGGTTAGCTACTATCACCATCGATGATCTTTCTGATTGTGATCGACTGCACTGGATTGGATCATGCAACAAACTGAGAAGAGCAGGATGGGCATACGCTGTTTGACCGGTGAAAACACCCTAGAAGATTTGGATTTCGCTCATCATGATTTGTGTCTAATGTCACACAAACTCCAAGATCTACAGGCGAAAACCAACAAGTTGGCAGAAGAGGCGAAGTGAGACAGCGAAGACAGAACTTCCTTCAGATGAACGTAGAGAAAGCAGAGGTGATGAAGATACCCAACCAACAACAACAAGCACGAATAACGATCAACGGGCGAAAAGGTGAAGGAAATTGTCTCTTTCATCTACCTACCTACCTAGACAGCATCGTTTCAACTATAGGCGGCGCAGACGACGATGTCAAAGCAAGACAGGCCTTCCGTTAACCCGAAATCAGTGTGATCTACTGCACTCCACTCAGCATAAAGAACAAGATCCGGATTTTCAACACTAAGTCAGTGCTTCTATGTGATGGCTGAGAGACTTGGCGCATTGCGTAAAGCATTTTCAACAAACTGCAGACATACATCAACAGCTGCCGCCTACGCTCACTCCATACCGAAGATCAGATCAGATGATTAGAAAGAATAAACAACAAGGAAATCTGCCAACTAACCCATCACCCAACAAATATGCAGAAGGAAGTGGAGATGGATTGTTCATACACTGAGAAGACCATTCGGAGGCATCACGCGTCAGGCCCTCGAGTGGAACCCAAAGGGGAAACGACGAGTTGGGCGTCCGAGGGTGACATGGACGAGGTTTCGTGAAGAATTGAAAGCCTCTGGGAAGTCGTGGAGCCAGGTTAAAAAGAATGCAGAGGAGAGAGTGAAATGGCGACGTGATAGTGAAGCTCTATGATTCATCAGGAACTCAAGGGACAAATAATTATTATTATTACTACTATGGCCTGTTCATGTATGCGTGTCTCAGACACAGAATACATCTATGGCTCGAGACTTCAGAGTTCTGGTGACCACTGCCTGCTGTTCAAAGCCCTGAAAAGCTATACAAAGTGACCGCATTATTCGAAAGGCTTTAGCCACCATTAACCTTACAGTTTGCTACGGTTTTAACGTTGAAGGGGATAGGTGGAGAATTGCCGCATTTTCTGGAGTAAAAGTTTAGACTCTGGTCAAACACTAGTAGAGCTTGCGTGCCTTACTGGTTGCAGGAAATAGACAATAGTAAAGCCTGTCTATGCGCGACTGGAAGATGAGGACGCCAAGTATGTATTTGGGGAGAAGTAAGCTAAGCATTTGTCTGAACATGACTAAATTGCTCATCCTGGGGAAACCTGATGTGATATTAAGTCTGCTGTAGAAAAACCAGTGAAAACAGCTGTTAACCATATCGTAACAGTGAACGCGATTCAGTTAATCAACTGGAGGCAAGAATTGCTACGTACAACGACGCAACTATCTTCTCAACTCGGAAATACTTCCTGCTGGTGATTTGTAGTCGTCTGGACCGTTCAACTGCTATAGCTTTTGGCTCTCTTCGGGGACCATTCACCACGAAATATCTTTCTTGGTCTTTACATATGCACTTGGAGTATTCGGTCAAAGTTGCTGATAAAGTGAGAGAAACCGAGTACCAAGTTCCTGTTGGCAGGCTATCTACTTTACGCTTTACTCTCCTCTTCATTTACATTATTTGTTTATTAGATCACTTAACTATGGTGGTACAAAATGCCAGATCGCAAGCCCTTAATCGTATAACGAGATCTGCAGGTGGACGGAATCCAGTCTGTGCTAAAAAGACGGATGTAGCAGCACAATCACCATCTAAGATCCCCATAGCATTGTCACATCATTTGTTGAAACCGGCGAATCCCTGTAGTAGCACATCCCCAGTCATACCATCAGTGGAAAGTGATGCATGGGGGAAACGCGCTACGACTGACAACACCATACAGAAAGCAAACCGCTCCATCATCAACAAAGAGCAAACCTCTGACGACTGTGGTGTTTGCAAAGAATCGGTGTCAGAGGCTCAGACGGCCTTTGTGTGCAACATTTGTCTTAGATGGGTACATTGTAACTGTAATAATGGTTTACCGGGGCAGTACTACAGCTTTATGAGGAAGTGCCTGTGTAAATGGATGTGGCATATATGCCCAGAGTGCCGGAAATCACCGGCTACCACCACTGGCAAACTGGAAAACCTGATTAGGCCAAAAATGTTACGAAGAACGAGCTCCAACAATCTTCCCTTAGAACGCGGTCTAGCTCCACATGTGTGCAAAAATGCTACAGCTAAAGGCAGGAAGAAATTGGCTCCCACCCCAAGTGAGACACCAAAAAAGTCCTTGCTTGTATCACCGCCACCCAGACAATCCAACGGGACTGAACAGCCTGAGGAAATAGGTTGCGCTGGGAACGAATGGACGGAAGTCAATAGGGTAAAGGGCAGACCGGAAGCCCTGGCTACCCAGCCCTGTATTCCGCACTCGCATGACAAGAGAACCGATTCCATGACTCTGTTCAATATCCGTATACTAACAGACTCACTCTTAGAAAAAAGAGAACAGTCTGACAAGGACAAGTGGGGCGACTACTGCAGAAAGTTGGGAATAAAAACCATCACGGTCAACTTATGCTGGCTCTCCCGAGGAAGTAGATCACCTCGAGATAAGCCCCCACCTCTCAGGGTATCAGCAATGACAGCGAAACAGTCGGAGAACATACTACTGCTGTCGGGCCAACCAGACATTGCAGGCTCTTGCCCCATAAGGGTGAAACTAGACAAACCTTGGGTCACCCGAGAGGCGGAGAGGAAGTCCCTGCTTAGTGATCTGCACAAACCTGCAACTATGGTGGTGCATGGAATACCCGAACTGGCGAGTGGATTCAGTGTTATAATTACCTCCATGATGTCAAGCAGTGGAGGTGGTTACCGGCAAAATGGGACTTAGAAATTTGCCAGCCAGCAGAGTAAGTAGGTTACCAAGACCTACACACTTGCAGAGCATTTCCTCACCAAGATTGCTAGCTGTACGCTTTTACTGCAAGGAATCGCTAACAGAAGCTCTCATAGCATGGTACCGCGTAAAAGACCACAAAGGAGGTGCTATAGAATGCTGTGAGAGTAAACCACGAGCTCCCAGACTAGAAGATAGGAGGCAACCTCCGAGAACACTACAGACAGTACTAGTCAGGAAAGAACTAGCTAGTGAACTACCTGTAGACGCAATAAACAATACCGTCACACCAGCAGCAGGATGCCAAGAGGGACCAAAAAATCCGATGCAACGACACACCAGCCTACAAACAAGTCCCCATATCTTACTAAGCCTTGAAACATAGCTCCTTCACAGGTTTCTTTAGCGATGTAAGAGGTCTTAGGAGTAAACTACTGGAGCTAAAAACGTGCCATAATCTACAACCATATGTAATCCTCATCACGGAGACACGGCTGTCATCAGGCATCGTGGATGAGGAAATATTTTTCCCTAACATGACCTTGTTCCGAAAGGACAGGCAGTTCAAAGAAGGCGGAGTTGTCATATATATTGGCACTCATCTAAAAGTGTGTGTTCAGCTTACTACCAGACTCTTTATGGTGCTATTTCACCATAAACCGAACAAAGTACCTATTAGGAGTGGTATATAGGCCTCCCATTTGCACGACAGAGCATAATGCACAATTGCTCAGTGGCATCTCAACAACCACCTCGGCAGCCTATGACCATGTAGTCCTCACTGGAGACTTCAACACACTGGCGCTCAACTCACAGTGTGGAGTAATATGTTGGCATAAATCTTTCGAACACAAACTTCGAAATACGTTATGGGAGCAGGAATGATAGAGAAGGTTGGGGAAAACACCAGATAGAAAAAGATCACTACTCGACTACGCTCTAACAGATGATGATCTTTTGGTGGACGACATCTGTGTTCAACTCCCCTTAGGTAAAAGCGATCACGCCTTGGTGAGATTCTCTCTGATAACCAAGGAGACACTATTAATAGTTGAGCCAGAAGCTTTCCACTGTAACCGAAAAGCAGACTACCATCTCATAACCAACGAATTTTTGGAGGTTGCATGGCCACAAGAATGGCACTCACTATCGATAGACGAACACTGGATGTAGATTAAAGATATTATCTGGAGCGCTGTCGATAAGTGTTCTAAAAATAACCAGACGCCCACCCCTCAGGCGGTCTTGGGTAACTCGCGCAACCCAAAAGCGAATAGAGAGGAGAAAGAAGGCATGGTACCGATGATGTACATCACGCAAAGAATCAGACTTCCATAGCTACAATATGTTAGGCAACTTGTGTAATATACGAATTTATAACGAAAGGTATACATATCAAAGCAAACTGGCTAAATAGTTAAGCTGCAATGCGAAAAGTCTGTATTGGTCTATGTCACAACGCAAAACGACGAATAAAGGCTTAAACCTGATCACATGACCGGCCGGACAAACTCTGGACAGCAGTGGGATAGCGAAATTGTTGAGCAGTCGATTTGACGAGCAACTCAACGAAGTTATTCATCCGCTACCAATATCTAGTAACGAAGTAACGAAGTTTCAGGACTGCCTTACAAAGCTGATGAACGTGAAGATTTCGTCAAACCAAGTGTTTACGAAACTTTCAACACTGAGAATAGGGAAATCCCCAGGCTGTGATGACATAAAACCGGCTGTCCTACACAACTGTGCCAAAGTGCTAAGCATACCCATATGCAACCTGTTCGTGCACTCGCTGGAAGTAAGTCAACTCCCCAAACAATGGAAACACTATCCTCTCACCAATCTTCAAAGGAGGAGACCGAAAGAACCCGTGCAACTACAGACCAATAGGATTACTCCCCATACTTTCCAAGGCACTGGAAAGCCTGGTTGCAGATGTTGTTTGGGACTACCTTAACAGAAACAACATCGTTCATCCCACCCAGCTCGACTTCAGAACCAGGCGGTTATGTGCCACAAACTTGATGACCGCTTGGGATAATTGGACTACTGGATGGGACAACAAACAACCAGTCCACGTTATCTTCTTAGACTTGGACAAACCTTTCGATAGCGTCCCACACCACATTATGCTCGCCAAACTTGCAAAAGTGGGTATCACCAAAACACTCTTGACACGGTTTACAACATACCTAGAGGATAGAGAATTCTGCACTAAAGTAAACAGAATTCAACTAACCTGGAGGAATGCAAGAGTAGGAGTTTCTCAAAGAGCGATCCTTGGGCCACTCCTATTCTCACTATTCATAAATGACCTCCCCATTAAAATCTCCATCCTCTCAATCGCCGACGACATCAAAATATGGAGGACGACAGATGGCGAAGAGGTTCCCAGGATGCTCCAAAACGACCTGTTGCAGCTGGAGTCCTGGCCAGCTGCAAACGGTTTAAGTTTTAACCTGGAGAAGTGCAAGGTGATGTATCTTCGCACACCAGAGGGGATGAAAATCAGCTACACTCTTAATAAGCATGTAATCACTAAGGTATCCACAGAGAAGGACCTAGGACTAAACTTCTCTGTCACACTGGATACTACTGGTATTTATAAGAGGATGGCAGCAAAGGTGAACGCCATTGTGCACTTTCTAAGAAGGCACTTCGAATTGTTAACCCCAGGGTTATTCCTCATGGTATTCAAAACCTACGTTAGACCACACCTAAAGGTGTTCAATACGATGCCCCCCCTCCCCCACTACTAAAGAGAGACGCCAATACTCTCGAAAGGGTACAAAGAGCAACAAAGTTGGTTGTCAGACT